CGCTGATCCGTCCTTGCCTTTTGTCGTTACTACGGATGCTAGCCAGTACGGCATAGGCGCAGTGTTACAGCAAGACGATGGCAATGGGTATAGACCCGTAGAGTTCATGTCCGCCAGGATGCCTTAAGAGAAAGTCGCGACATCTACCTACGAGAGGGAACTCTACGCTCTCAGGCAAGCGTTAGACCACTGGAAGCACCACTTGCTTGGGAGGCACTTCAAAGTCTATTCTGACCATGAAACATTACGATGGTTAAAGACGCAGGCCAAGATGACACCTAAGCTTACTAGGTGGGCCGCAGAGATAGATTAGTACGACTTTGAGCTCAAGCCTGTCAAAGGGAAGTACAACGTAGTATCGGATGCTCTGAGTAGAAGAGCTGATTATTTTGGGGCAATAGTACATTACCTCGATATAGGAAAGGATCTGCAGCAGCAGGTTAGAGAAGCCTATGCGCAGGACCCTATCTATGGTGAGCTCCTTAAGAAAGTCAAGGAGGCCCTAGAAACCGAGCCGAACTACCGCACTACTGAAGGGTTGATTTTTGAGAAGACTAATGTTTTTGACCGATTGTGCATCCTCGATAGCGAAGAGATCCGCAGTCTGATCCTGGGAGAATGCCATGACACGGAGGGTCATTTTGGTTGGCAAAAGACCTTAGCCAATCTGATGCGCGCGTATACCTGGCCAGGGATGAAGAATGATTGCGTAGAGTATGTTCGCAGTTGTAACTTGTAAGGTCTGCCAGCGTAACAAGTCTTCTACGCGTGCCCCGTTAGGTCTTCTCATACCCTTGCCCATTCCAGATCAGCCAGGAGACTCAGTGTCAATAGATTTCATGGACACTCAAGTCAAGAGCAGGCATGGCAAGAGCCAAGTCATGGTCATAGTTGACCGCTTTAGCAAGTACGCAGTTTTTGTTCCTTTGCCTTCTGAGGCGCGTACCGATTTAGTCATACAAAGGTTCTTTGACTGTTGTTTTAGTGAGAATGGAATCCCGCTGTCTATAGTTAGCAATAGAGATAGTCGCTTTACTAGCCAGAACTGGCAAGAACTCATGGGAGTATACGGATCTAAGTTGTCGATGTCGTCCGGCCACCATCCAGAGACTAAAGGTCAGACAGAGCAAATGAACAAGATCCTGCAGCAAGTTCTGCGCATGTATATTAGGCCAGATCAGATATTAGGTCAGACAGAGCAAATGAACTGGGATGAGATGTTGCCTAAAGTAGCTAGTGCGTACAATAACAGCGTGCATCTAGCCACCTGCCGCACTCCCAACGAACTGCACAAGTCCTTTCGACCGCGCAGACCGTTTGAGGGACTCAACCACGATCAGATTCACAGATTGCCGCCCGGGACCAGGGAGTTTGCTGTACAGCACGAAAAAGAACTAGCTACTGTTGTAGAGAACCTCAGGAAAGCCCAGCATAGGATGATAGAACAAGCGAATAAACATCGTCGCCCCTCACAGTTTCAAGTAGGCRACTTAGTCTGGGTTAGTTCTAAAGAGTTTACACCTGAGGAGAACATCTCGCAGAAGTTACTGCCCACCTATAGAGGACCGTGGCCAGTCTTAGAAGTCAAGGGTGGCGAAGACGGACCGTCCTACACTATAGAACTCCCAGCTCACCTCCACACGTACCCAGTTTTCCATGCATCAAAGTTATTACCTTGTCAAACAAGTGATCAGTTTCCATCCCGTAGATCGATGATCCCACAAGATATGGATGGAAGATATGACATTGATGGTATAGTGGCTGAAGATGTCTTCAGAACCGGAGGTAGGGGTCGTCCGCAGAAACAGTACAAGGTTCATTTTTAGTTATCAAGAACCGGAAGACGACCGCTGGTTTACGAGATCTGAACTTCTAGAGACAGCTCCCAATATAGTCCGGGCCTACGAGAGACAACAGCGAGGTAAAGGTCCTGCCTTGGATTGAAAATTTCTCGGCGGACCTCGAATCTAGGCCGGCGGGAGTGAAACGGTATTCACCAGTTCGAAGTAGCTGATGCAGATCCCAGGGTTCGATCCCTAGTTCCCCAACTTACCTGTGTACAATACCTGTGTCAACTCGAAGAATTGAACCTGCGACCTGTAGAACCGCCAGTGGTAAGTAGGTCTGTCGTAGGTCTATAGGTAGCCAGGATTCGATCTATAGACCTGTAGATTAGAAGTCTAGCTGCAGTCCTTCTAGAAGGTCGGCAAGTGGTCAAGTGGTGCAGGCAAGTGGCCAAGTGGTGTGACTAAAGCAAGCCCACGTTGTAGACGAGGACAAGTGGCGAGGTCAAACAGCAGGACCCCAGTGCAACTGCACTGCGTCGTAGGGTCGTCGCCATGCAGTCAAGGGAAAGTCTAGAAAGTACCAGTCCGGTCCAGCAAGTACCACGGGGGGGACTGTGTGCACCATGGGCCAGGGATACAGGGCAGACCAACGCAGCGCAGAAGTATAAATCAAGAGGCTGCGTCCAGCCATTCATGCGGTAGCGCTGCCACAGCGTCTAGTGCAAGGAGGTCTGCTGGAGGCCCGAAGACGAAAGGGGCAAGAGTGAAGCACTGTAGTCATAGCGATAGGTAGTGGCAGCCATAGCTGCCCTAGCTCAGTGTAGAGTGCAGAGTGTGTGTACTGTGTGTGTTGGGTATGAACACTGAGTGTGCGTGTGGGACATCCAGGGTGATCCAGAGTGCGAACAGTGAGTTGTGTGGGCGCTCAGTCGCCATAGCCAGTTTGAAGAGAACTCTTACCTGGTTACAATATCTCTGAGTACTGTGTGGGCGCATGTCGCCAGTTTGCTGCTTCGCTGTTTGCATGCATGACAAGTGTGAAGAAGTCGAGTTAGATTGCATGAGGGGGGTTTCTGAGTTGTCGCTGGTGTCATTGAAGTTAGCTGCATATTTTGAGGACCTCCTGGATTACCGCCTGTCCCTTCTGCACTGCCCAGTCACCCCAGAGCCATTTCTGGGAGGAGTTTAGTAGGAGTCTCCAATCCATTGGTATACTTTCGATGATAATCGATATGCTGATTTGTAGATTGTGGCTGCCCTTCAGTGTTTTCCTTAGTTCCTTCTCTGTTTTCCGGGTCTTTGTGTCTTCGTTCCATATGTTGGATCTGCCAAACGCCTTTTTCTAACCAATTTCCCCATCTGGTGTTAGCTTTGGTGAGTTGGAAGCTGTGCCCGTTGTGGTCTAGAATCCACGGGTTGCCGAAAATCGGTTGTCTGAGGACTTCATCCTTTCTTTTGGGGCCCACTTTGTTATTTGGAAAGATCTTCCTCCATTGATATATGAGTTGTTCCCAAAAGGATTATTTGCAGGTCCACTTAATGTATGCAAGACAGCAAAAAATATAGCCACAAGTCTTAGACTGAAAGGCAGACAAACGGCACAATGCAGTAAGGCACGAAAGACAATGAAGCAAGGAGCATAGGCTGGAAGGCATGGGGGAGGTAGGTGGGCAGACAAACGGCACAAGCCAGTGAATGAAAAGGCAAGCAAAAGAACAACAGGCAAACAAAAGGAGCAAGGAACAAAAAACACAAAATGAAAAAAAAAAGAAAATGATGATTCCGCACGACCCCCTGTGTGGCATACTACGGGTTCACCGACCGAGAACGTCAGATTGTCCGTCCTGGCAGGTTGTGCAAGTTGGCAGGCTTTCCAGCCCGTGCCAGGTGTGAGGAGCTTGGGTCCTCCCCACACAGAGCAGAGAGAGGTAGGAGTAGACTCATAACCTTAGGATAGCCTAGGATGGGCTAGCATATTTAAGGTTGTTGCCTCCCCTGAACAGATGTGATCGTGGTTCGATGTCTGCTGGTCCCTTGTCTGGTGTCTGGTTGCCTTGGGTTGTAGTGCTGGGTTAAAGTCAAGATAGGGCACACACCTGTTCTTGGCGAATGTCTACAAGGGTTGACATCTTCACATACTTCGGTTCTCTGCTGCTGACGTCAACAGGATGCATTGTCAATTCGTAGGCTGCTAGTAAGCTGTGTGATCGTAGTCTGAGCGCGGAGCGCCAAGTAGGAGGAAGGACTTCGGATACATGTGTTGATGGTGGCGAGAGTATGCTCTCATTGACATTCGGATTCAGTACTTTGGATCTCCGTTGGTGGAATATCAGTGCATTTCTGCTTTCTGGACATCGTTGGACTTGCTGGCTTTCAATGTGATTTTGCACTCTGGATTTCTGTCAATTTTGCTATCGCTAATTTTCCTTGCACTTGGGATGGTAGGTTGCTTGCCTAGACGTGTGAGTAGGTTAAAATGTATGTAGCAAGGTAGCTAGTGTAAGGAAGGTACGAAACTGAGAGAAGAAAATAGGGTAGCAAAAG